ACGCGGCCTCAGCATGGCTGGAGAAGTGGTGCGTTGGTGCGCCCCCGGAATCTGAACCCGGGCCACCAGTAGCAGAGCGCGCGCACTTAACCACTAAGCCACAGGGCCGGCCCCCAAAGCTTGTTGTTCATACTGAGATTCAGCTATTTTTCTTGAATAAATGCTTTCTGGGTTGCTGTAAGCCTTTGATTAGTTTCCAGGTGTGGAAAAGTCAATTCTGACAATTTTTGCCAGTTTTTTCATTGTTAATGGAGAGGTGAATTTTTGGAGCCCCACTGCCATTTTCTAGGCCTGAATATTTAAGGGAAGATGCTATTATTGATCTTTCTTGGCCAAAGAAAAATCTTGGTATGGCAGGGCTTCCTAATATTTTTAACAGAGAAAAGTATAGCATGTTCCCTCCACTAACTTATGAATTGACTTAAGAATATTTGACCAAAGCATGACGTTAATGGAAGTGATAGTGAGTTTTGTATATTTTTTTAACAGCTATTGGTCAAGACTTCAACATATTTTAAGGCCACTCACTATCTTATGATAGTCAAACTCTGTTATCACTGTGAAGAAGAGCGCTAGTCTTCCTCTAAAATATATTATGGAGATAAGCATCTCTTTATAATAAAAGTTCTGTCATTATTTAGACATTTTATAGAGGTGAGGAGGGGCTAAAGATATAGTCTTCTGTTTAACTTTTTAATTTTTTCCTGCTTTATTGAGATATAATTGACATATAACATTGTGGAAATATAAGGTGTAGAATGCATTGATTTGATACACGTATATATTGTAAATGATTACCACCATAGCATTAGCTACGTTTTAATTCTTGAAAGAGGTGGAGACACCATCTTGCTATTAGAATGGCTGTAGAAGGAGAAACGGTCACTCACACTCTAGGGTTTGGATTTCAGCATTGCAGGACAGCCTGAGATGATCAATCTCTGAAGAATTAATTCACGCTACCTCGACTTTCAAAAGACTTAGGTATAAACCGGCATGTGATTTTACTAATCATAAAAAGATGCTCTGCAATAGAAATTGTTATGTAGGTTGTAATAGTCTTTGTCACTATGCATTATTGTCCAAAAGGCAAATCCAGGCAAGAAATCAAAATGAAAAGAAAAGGCTGTGAGAGACGCATGGAGTTAGTGTGAGGCAAACAAATTATATGACCTTAGGACTTTCTTCACCAAACTCTCTGATGCATACCTAGCCAGTAGAGTAAAAAGCTGACATCATCTGGAAAACAACACTCCTGTTCCCAGGATAGTAATAGAAACTTTGTGACAAAGTCTTATTCTTGGCTCAACACTGACCCAAAGGCCTCTGATAACACAGCCTAACACACAAATAAAACTTGATTCAGTTTAGGATTCTTATTTTCCTTTTTCTAAGTTATAGTACATTCTAGTCATTCCTGAGACTATACACCAGTAGCCTTTTTTTGAGCTTGGGTGTCATCAAACCTTCTTAGCCAGGGAATCTCTATCACAATCCACAGTTTTAATGTGTCCTTAACACTTCTCACTTACTTACTTACTTGTATATTATCAAGTATCAAGACTATTATCAGTTTTACTTATTTACTTGTACATTATCAGCTCCATCTATTGTTCTCCTTGAAAACAAGCTCCTAGAGAACAAGTATTTTGTCTATATTTTTCATTATTATATGCCCATTGCATTTTTTTTTTTTTTTTTGTTGGGAAGGTTCGGCCTTGGGTTGGCTTTTTTTGCCATTCTTCTTCTTTTTTTTTCCCCTTTTCTCCCCAAGGCCCCAGTAGATAGTTGTATGTCACAGTTGCACATCCCTCTAGTTGCTGTATGTGGGACGCCACCTCAGCATGGCCGGAGAAGTGGTGCATCAGTGAATGCCCGGGATCCAAACCCGGGCCGCCAGTAGTGGAGTGCATGCACTTAACTGCTAAGCCACATGGCCGGCCCCCGCCCATTGCTTTTATAAGTGCCTGCACCATAGAAAACAATCAACAAAGATTTGTTGAATTAATTTAATAATTATTGTTTTAGGTGAGAGTATTTCATAAGATGATCTTTCCTAATTTTATCAGAGGAATGAAATCTTAGCATTAATTTTGGAGATTCATTGCTGTTGCCTCCATATTGACTATTTTTTTTGTGTGTGAGGAATATCAGCTCTGAGCTAACATCCATGCCAATCTTTTTTTTTTTTTTTTTTTTGCTGAGGAAGAATGGCCCTAGGCTAACATCTGTGCCCATCTTCCTCCACTTTATATGGGATGCTGTCACAGCATGGCCTGACAAGTGGTGCATCAGTGTGAGCCTGGCATCTGAACGCCGGCCACCAGCAGTGGAGTATGCGCTCTTAACCACTACACCATGGGGCCGGCCCCCATATTGACTATTTTTGAGACTAGAATTTGAACGACTAAAGAGTCGTTCCTATCTATGTCCATTCTTGTAGTGGAAAAGTACAAACTTTAAAGGAGTACAGGGAGAGGTTGGTCAAAGGATATAAACTTTCAGTTATAAGACAAATAAGTTCTGGGGATCTAATGTACAGCATGGTGACTACATTTAATACTACTGTATAGTACAGTTGAAATTTGCTGAGAGTAAATCTTAAGTGTTTTCACCACACTATAGAAACAAAAAAGGTAATGATGCGAGGTGATGAATGTGTTAATTAGTTTGATTGTGGTAATCATTTCACAATGTATATGTATATCAAAACATCGCTTTTTACACCTTAAGTATATACAACTTTTATTTGTCAATTATAACTCAATAAAGCTGGAAAAAAATAAAATATATGCTCATTTTGGAAGAGGAAAAAAGAAAGACTATGGATAGCTGAGATCTATGGCCATTTTATACGGCTACAGAACCAAAAAGTAGACAGAACAATAAATGTTTTAGAAAGTCTTAAATTTCTCTTAATCATCATGTCAGAAAAGTAAAGTAAAACATTAACTAATTATGCCTATTACCTGCTTGTTCCTCATAGAGCATATTACATTGAGAGAAACTTAGAATTAAAAAATTTTAGTTGGCTAGCTAGCAAACCAACAGGTCAGAAACATGGGAAGAAAAACAATTGTTCTTTCTGGAAATGGGGCGGGCCAGCAGTTCTCAACCATGCTGTCCTTACTCATTGGTTTACGCAATCAGTTGCTGGAAGCAATAATAAAAGTTTGCATCAAAGTTTGCCAAAGTTTCCATCAAAGCATGCAAAGCCTCTGTCAAAAGTTTTTTCAAAAATCCATTTAATTTTTTCTTTTTCTATAAAAGATAAGGGGGAAGCATATTCCAAATGAAGTTAAAAAATGCTTCAACTAGTTGTCACCACAGGCCTTTAAATTCTGCCTTGAGTAAAAAGAGCCTGAACACAATTCCCCTCAGAACTTTAGTGCAAGGCCTGTTGAGGTGCGAGCTGAGGACAACCCCTCTGTTGTTCATTCTCACAGCTAAATGAGTCACACAAGCTCACAGGTCCAGGACACTCTGACACCATCAGGCAAAGAGAAAAAACAGTGGAGCTAACATGTGCTTTGGAATCTTGGATTTACTGTATTGTTGCCTTCAAAAGACTTAAGGTACAGTCATATCCTGAGAGGGAAGGTATGCCTAATTTTGGTAAATCTGATTATCAATTCCATTTGATGGTACAGAAACATCTACCAAATTATACTGTAAAATTTTAAAAATCAATGAAATGGTTTACTCATTTTAAAAATTTTAATCAGAGCTACATATATACCATTTTACATATATGCTTTTATTTCAAGAAATAAATTATCATTACATTTTAAAATAACTTAATTATTTTCAGTCTTATAAACCATACCATGCCTCAAATTATGTGAGTTCCTGTTGACATTAATTTGATGTCATTTTATTTATCTTCCTTTTCAACTAGCAAATGTTTCTTTCTGCTTAGTTTATAAAGGCGATTTGAAAGGTATGCTATCTTTGTTTCCTGGGACAGCATTTAGGAAGGTCTGAACAATACAATATAAAGGATGATCCTCTTCTACTCTAACTCACTGTACACACTCCTGTTGTGGGTTTGTTAATGAAAGAACTAATGACACAAGGTTATTGAATAAGTGAATAATTGCAGACATCAGTATTCCTTCTATACATATTAGTTTTTCTATCAACCAGTTTTCATGCTTACGTAAATTACTTCCTTCTGCTCACCCAAAGCCGTAAAATGAATTTTCAAATAATATAAACCAATAGAGAATTTTAAACTTAGGAGAAATAGTTAAAAATTGAGAAATCCAGTGCAAATCAGTACACTACAACTCCCTGATGTACACACTCTGTATAATCCCCACCCACCCCTGGAGTGTGGGCAGAATCTGTGAACATGACGGGATATCACTATGGGAGAATCATCATGGGAATATCTGTATCCATTTTCTATTGCTGCATAAGAACTTACCATAAATTTAGTGGCTTATTGCAACTCATTTATCATCTCACAGTTCTGTATGTCAGAAGTCCAGGCACAGCTCAGCTAGGTTTGATACTGAGGGTTTCACAAGGCCAAAATTTAGGTGTCAGCTGGGGTTATGGTATTATCTGAAGTTTGAAACACTCTTCTAAGCTAATTCAGGTTGTTAGAAGAATTTAGTTTCTTGTTGTTGTACAACAGAGATCCCAGCTTTTCTTGCTGGCTGACAGCAGGAAGGTAGCTCTCACCTCCTAGGGGCCAATCACAGGTCTTAGCCAATGTGGCCAGCTTAGTAGCTTACTTTTTCAAGGCCCACAGGAGAATCTCTCAGAGTTCTTTAAGATCTCACCTTATTAGGTCAGGCCCACCCAGCCCAGTCTCCCTGTTAATACTCAAAGTCAGCTGATTAGGGACCTTAACTGCATCTGCAAAATTCCTTCAATTTCGCCATTAACATGGCAAAGATAACAGAATCTAATAATGGTCATATCATCATGAGAGTATCATCAGGGCATATCTGGTTTACTGGGAACATGATTCTATAAAAATATGACTGTAATAGGATTTTATAATAGTCTATATAAACTTTAAATTTTATATCACTTTACAAGTGACAAAGTGCTTGTACATATTTTGCATCATTTGATTTTCATGACTACCTGTCAGAGAGGCACAGTAGATATTAGTCTAACATTAAAGGTGAAAACCAAGGCTCAAAGCAGCTAAGAGACTGCCCAAAGCTTTAGAGCATTCTAGTAGTGGAGTCGGGCTTCAGCCCAGCATCTTTTCACCCTATAGTCCTGTACTCCTTTTTTTGCTAATCCTGTTGTTTTCAAACTGTGGTGAGGTTCCAAGGAGATGTCTCAGGGACTACTCCAAGAACTGAGGGTGACACTAAAAAGGTAGGGCTAAGTGTTGATACAGAGATTCTACTTTTGTTTGTTCTATATGTTGGGGGTTCTACACAATCATGCCGCCTTGTAAAAGGTAAAGAAGAATGTTTACAAAAAAATTTAGTTTAAAAAATGGTTAGATAGCTGTATATAAAAAGCCAAGAGTCTATTCCAGTCAAGTTTTAAGAAGCTATCATTTCTTGCAGCAGCTGTTGAACCTTTTATAAAGAAAGAAAGAGAAAAACAAAAAAACTGCATTAAATAGTTGGTTTGAAATGTACACTTAGGAAAAAATGACGAACCCCACATCCTTCACTTTTTAAATAAGTGTGAAAAACTGATACCTTCTTAATGTCTGGTCTCTTATTTTTCTTTTCATGGAGACATTGACTAGCAACAGAGTACATAGTTTCAACAGAAGTAGAATCAACGTCATTCATCTTCTTATCAATATAATCTTCAATCGTCTTTTCTTCATCTTCAATTTCTTCTTTAATATCTAGCTGTAAAATGAATGTTAAAACTTTAAGTTTCAAATAAAAGTGAAAGAAATCAGAATATAAATTCTAATTATTTAATCTACTTCATAATAGCATATATTCTTATTTTACTTTTTACTTATATAACCTTATTAAGAATTGAAGACATACGGGGGAAACCCTATTTATTTATACATACATACACACACACACATACATACATACCTTCTAGATACTTTCAGCCATTTGCTTTCTAATTTTTGTATTTATGGTACTGAGCATGTTCCCTTAGCAGCATTTACTAGGCTGCCAGCACAGGGTGGTCTGCTTTCTGAGGTGCTTCTGATACTGCAGTTCCAATTTCTGGACCCAGACTCCCCCTCCCTGCACAGGCAAACTTCCCTATGGATACTCACACTGTTCAATCAAAGAGAAAGAGGGATGAGGAAAAAGGGGACAGAGCCATGAAAAAAGTAACAAATAGGGAGAGAGGTGTAGGACTAGGATGGTGTAGTGGGTTGAGTGGTGGCCCCCCCAAAAGATATGTCCATGTCCTAATCCCCGGAACCTGTGAATGCGACTCATTTGGAGAAAAAGTTCTTTGCAGATGTAATGAAGTATTTTGAGATGAGATCATCCTGGATTACCCAGATAGGCTGTAAATCCAATGACAAGTGTCTGTATAAGAGAAAGAAAGAGAAGAAAACAGACACAGAGAAGAAGACAATGTGACCATGGAGGCAGAGACTGGAGTGATGTGGCCACAAGTCAACATCCACCAAGAAGCTGGAAAAGGCACGGAAAGATTCTCCCCTAGAGCCTCCAAGAGGGAACGTGGCCCTGCAATACCTTGATTTCAGACTTCTGGCTTCCAGAACTATGCGAGAATAAATTTCTGTCATTTTAAACCTCTTTGTGGTAAATTTTTTATGGCAGCCCCAAGAAACTAATACAGATTGAAAAGACTATTTATGTGAGGTCAATTGTAAACTCTCCCGAAACTCTTCCAAAAGGTGAATTTTGAAAGTGTTTGGGCAAAATCTAGTGATATAAACGTTCTTTAAAAGATCACTCTCTTTTAGTTATACTTATATTAAAATATTATTACTTTATAGTCATACCATATTCAAACCTTAAGAATAAGTGACAGAATATAATCTTCCCTGAAGTTTTATGATTTTCACTATTATATGATGAGGCACAAAACTGGTGACCGAGATGGATTCCATGTTTTATGTAGTTCATCCTTACTCAAGCCAAAGTTTTGAGGCTTTTATAATATTCTGAAGGAGAAAAGCGTCTGAGGCAAAAGAAAGGAAAATTTAGGCCTTTAGACAGGTAGGCCTTGCTTAAAAAGCACAAGTTAGAAGGTAGTAAAACACTGGGTTCCCTCTTTAGTCCTTCATACCTTTTTAAAAAATTGTCCTCCTGTATATTTAATCTACACACTTTCTCTGTATAATCCAATCCATACCCAAAGCTTTATCTATGGCTGTGCACTAATGGCTCAAAAACTGTTATCTCCAGCCCAAGCTTCTTTCCTGACCTCCAACAACAAATGAACAGAGAATTTTACTTCTTTGATAAAGACAAAACTTCACTTTTTATGTACCACTATAAAATATCCAAACATGATGGGGCTGGCCTGGTGGCGCAAGCGGTTAAGTGCGCTCACTCCGCTGCGGCGGCCCGGAGTTCACCGGTTCGGATCCCGGGCGCGCAGAGACGCACCGCTTGGCGAGCCATGCTGTGGTGGCGTCCCATATAAAGTAGAGGAAGATGGGCACGGATGTTAGCCCACGGCCAGTCTTCCTCAGCAAAAAAAGAGGAGGATTGGCAGATGTTAGCTCAGGGCCGATCTTTCTCACAAAAAAATAAAATAAATAAATAAATAAAAATAAAAAAAAATCTAAATATGATGAAAATAATAATGTTTTACAACAATATGTTTTATAAATATACTTTAATGTGAAATATTATATAGCATGTAATGCATTACTACATATCCAGAAACCACAGAAAGCTTTATAACGTAGAGTTTTATAAGGGACACCTGCAGCAATATTATAATACATAGATATTTTACTTATGGCTTTTCTTAAAAGAGTATGGCACCAAGCTCTTGAACAAATATATTATACCTTTTGACTTTCTAATCCCCATTCTAGGGAAATAATACGGTATGTGCATATTGTCTCAACTTGTCACACTGGTTTGTCCCATGAGAACACGTAAATTAGAATAAAGTCAGTGCAGTTATTTAACTAATTTTAAGAAAAACTTGGACATGATAGTAGGTATCTCCATAAATCTTTAATTTAATTAAAAAAATCCTCTAAGTTCTTAAAATCTACTATATAGGAAAAGAAGGGCATGGCATAATTTTCCTATAGTTTTAGCATTTAGTTCGTTGATTTATATAATAGTTGATGAATCCCTAATATAACAAATTAGGTAATGTTTTCTATGACAACTTTAAAAATGAAATACTTCATAATATAATGGATAGAGAATTTTACTAGCAATTCTATTTTGACACAAATTTGAATGGAAGCCATGTTGTTTTTCCTCTCTGAGCTGAAAAGGCTATTAGGAATCACCCTGAAAGCAAAAAAATAAAAATATACTGGAGAACACCTCAGAAATCATATAGTTCTATTCTACTTTTACCCACAAAGAAACTAGAACATAGAATACATGTGACTTTTCCAAGCTTCACAAATACTTGATGGCAGAGCTGAGATTAGAAATATTTGATATTCTTTCCATATGCCACTCTGTAATTGCCAGTGGAAAGATTGCCCATAGAAAACGACATTTCTAGATGCCAAATTTACCCTTGTAAATTTAGAGTATAAATGCAAAGAGAAACGGACTGGAAAAAATGAATCTTTCGATTACCAATAACTGAGGTTCACGGTGTTCATCCACAGCTGGAAGTCCTGTTATTATTTCTAGTAAAACCTATGAAGACAAAAAAACTCCATTAACATAACATTCCACACAACATACAGAAACTAGAAGGAATATGGATCTTGAGTATGAAATCTGATCAATCATTTCCACACACAGCATTATGTCTTTTAGGCATTCAAGCGGAAAGAACACGAGCTGTGGTCTTTCCTCACCACCCCTCATTCCCGGACACCGCGGATCCCACCCATCCCCATAGTAGTTCTTTCCTAATGGCAACTTACTAAACAATCAGCTCCACTCAACAAGTGTGCTGGAAACTCCCACTCCGTTTCCTGTCTTGCAGAGGATCCTTCACAAGAATAATTTCTCTGGCTCTTAGGAGAATGCTATTTTCTAAACCACTGGCATATCCTACAACCCTGCACCTTAGTGTTATGAAGTTAAATTTCCATATATGAAACATATATGAGAAAATAAGATGAAGAAACACCCAATTTCTCCAATCACCCCCACACACCTCTCACTCCATCTTAAAAGTTATTAGGAACAGACTGGTGGATCAGAAAATGCCAAAGCATACTTCCTTAAAAAAAATTTCATTTTATAAATATGACACAAAAGTTGTGTACATATGACATGATTTATTTTGTACACTGATTTAATTTAAGTTTCATACTAATTCATGAGGATAGGGTGGCAAAAAAATCATTTCTTGCAGTAATTTCAGAAATCAAAAAGTTTTACAAATTGGGAGTTTTTATAACTTTCTCATTTAACTAGAGGTTGAAGTGAACAATTTACATCTTTAAATAAAAGAGCTAAGCAAGACAGGTATATTCAAAACATTCTACTTCAATTTCCCAATTATAGCCAGAACAACTATTGTTACTAATTATATACATGAAACTTACCACACCAAAGCTGTAGATGTCAGATTTGGGTGTTATTTCTCCTCGCAAAGCTTCAGGTGCCATATAAGCTGTTGTTCCCACAATTCTGCTAGTCATGACAGTCTGGGCAAACTTCTCAGAAGCCCGTGCAAGCCCAAAGTCAGATATTTTAGCTGTAAAGTTTTCGTCTAGTAAAATATTTGCACTGAAAAAATTGAAAGTTTAGAGAAAAAATTGTTTTCCTTTCCAAGTCAGTCAAACAGTTCCTTAGATGAGTATATGAATACATGTACATATGTATTTAGAGTATACCATTTTATAATATACATCATAAAAGCGTGAAAGTTGTGGGCCGGCCCCGTGGCTTAGCGGTTAAGCGCTCGCGCTCCGCTGCTGGCGGCCTGGGTTCGGATCCCGGGCACGCACCGATGCACCGCTTCTCCGGCCATGCTGAGGCCGCGTCCCACATACAGCAACTAGAAGGATGTACAGCTATGACATACAACTATCTACTGGGGCTTTGGGGGAAAAATAAATAAATAAAAATTATAAAAAAAAAAAAAAAGCCTGAAAGTTGTGTAAATAAATCTAGAATTCAGATTAAAATTAAAGAGAAATAATTGTTTTTCTTCCCTCTTTGTTTATTGAGGAAAGATTTTAGGAGAATAAAAATGAAATAAAACTGTCCATATTAGTGAGATATTTTCCTTATTTTACAAATAATTTATTACATGGTAACTTCCCACAAAGTCTCCTAAAGCACCACTCTTAATTCTTAACATTTCTCAATTCATTTGAAGACAAATTTCGAACTGAAGTATCTCAATTATTCATTTTTTTATTCTTTTTTTTCTGTACTAACGGAAATCTTTCAAAGAGGAAAGAATATGGTTAAAGGTCATAATTCATTTCTTATATGCATTCATTCATACACTTGTAATTTCATTCAACAACACTTTATTGAGGACTCCCTATATATTATAGTATTTAAGCTCGGTGCTGGGCATTGGGAGAATCTTTGAATCTTGTCTGTGACAAAGGCATATGAATAATTTTTAAAAACCCAATAAGAACCACATAATGGTGATATTAGGCACAAAATGCTGAGAGAGCAACCACCTGCGTGGAAGAACTGGGGAAAATTTCAAAGAGAAGATAAAAAGTGTGCTTAGCCTTGAAAGATTATTAGAAGTTGATGGTTAAATGAGGGAAAGAAAGGCATTTTTCAGGCAAATGGAGAAACACGTACAAAGTGATGAAAACATAAAAATACTTGGTCAAGTTCAAGAAAGTGGCATCAATGGAACTTGGGAGAGAATTTGAACTTTATCCTGTGAGCAACAGAATACCAGCTAAAGTTTTCATACTAGGGAATTGATGTTATCAGACTGACTTGACTTGCAGTGTAGTAGTGAATAGACGAGAACTGGTACAGACTGGTTGACGGTTGACCAGGAAGGTTTGTAATAAAGCAAATCAGAGATAGTGAGGATCTAAATAAAGGCACAGTACTGGGTAGAAATAGGAGGTGCGAATTTTGAGGCACACTCAATAGAACTTTGTAATTAGTATGATATGGGGTATGAGAAAGTCTTTAGCTTGGGAGACAGTATGACCAGTAACTTCATTCAATCAAGAAGGAAGTACTGGAGGAAGACTTTGGGTTGGAAGAGATAATGAGTTTGATTTCTGACATGTTAACTTAAAGGCTGCTGTGGGACATCCAGGTGAGATGTTTTGGATATGGAGATACTGAAAATATAGGATTGGAGGCTGATGATACAGATTTGTGAGTCACCCACATATAGATAGCACTGAAGTCAACATAACATCACTCAGCAAGAGGATGTAGGGTAAACAAAAGAGACAGCGAGGTAAGAACGTGAGGGAATACACCAGTATGTAAGGGATGGGAGAGGGTGTCTCTCCTCTTATCTAAGGCCAGTCCCTCTACTTGGACTCCTTCCTACATTCTCAGGAACCTTACTCTATCAATTATCTCACTGCTCTCTTCTATTGTATCATCTCCCTCTTCCCACAGGCATAAAAGCATGCTTTAAGTCTTTGCCATCTTAAAAAAAAAAAGTTTCCTGAATGATACATCTATTTCCAGCTATCACTCTTCACTAGCTAAACATCTTAAAGGACTTGTCTATACTCACAGCTCAGTTCTCCAGCTCCCACTCTCCCCTCAACTACAACCTGAATCCTGACCCAATTACTACACGGAAGTAGGTCTCCATAAAGTCACTCATGACCTTCCTGGCACTAATCAAATGGTTATTTTTCAGTCCTCATCCTGACCTCTAAAAAGCAACTGACTTTTTGATTAGTCCCTCTTGGGAAACATTTGCTTTTCTTGTTTTTAGGGACACCACACACTCCTGGTTTTCATCTAACCTTTTTGCACCCACCTTCTTGGATTCCTTTTGGGGACCATTTTCTTCTACTTGGCCATTAAGTCTTATAGTTCCTCAGGACTAAATCTTGGGGCCTTCTCTTAATCTATATCTCTCCTTAAGTGAATACAGTCATATGACAGCTCTTCAATTATCACCCATATGCAAGTAAGATACACATTTATATCTTCAGCTCAGACTTCTTTCAGCTCCAAATCTGTACATCACACTGTCTGTTTAACATCTCCACTTCCATATCTTAAATGAACCTCAGACACAACATGCACAAGTGAGAACTCATATTCTCCACCCCAAACCTGGTCCTCTTTCAGTGCTTTCTATATAAGTGAATCATGCCATAATCATTCCAGAAAGCAATTCTGGAAGCCATAGAGCCAGGAGTCATTCCTGGCACTTCCTTCTCCCTGACCTCTCTGCAGCCAAGACATCAGCAAGTCCTGCCATCCTAATCTCTCAAATCTGCTCACTTGTCATCATAAGAACTGATACCACCAAGACTTCTATGAAAGCCTCCTAACTACCCCTTCTTACAAACTATTCTCTACACTCGAGTCAAAGTGATCTTCTCAAATCTTAAATATGATGCCACATTCCTAATTACAATTTTTCAATGGCATCTGACTACACTTATGATAAAACTAAAATCCTTACTTGGTCTATTAGGTCCTACAGGGCTTCAGCACCCTGCCTGTGTCTACAGTTTTATCTCACATCAATCATGCCTTCAATTTCTGCACTTCAGTCATCTTGCACTTATGTCACTTCCTGTAATTCGTCATGTTTCCATGTTCCCTCTCAACACTCTTACAAATGCGGTTCTTTCTGCCTAGGATGCTCTTCTCCCCATCTTATATAGCGGCCCTCAAATTGTGCCTATTTATTTCCTGCTCATTCTTTGAATCTCTGCTTAAATATCACTTCCCCAGGGAATTCTTCTTTATACTAATACTATATACCAAATACCATGTACTATACACTAAAGTTCTATTATTATTTTGTGATTATTTGATTGATGTCAAACTCCATAAATGCTACTTTTGCTAACTCTATCATCTACAGCGCCTTGCCTATAGTAGGTGCTCAATTAATATTCATTAACTAAATAAATACCTAAGAAGGAAGAGAACTGAAAATTATCCATGCAGGATGAAAGTGATTCAGAAAAGACTGGTGATCCAGAAAATCAGAAGGAAAATAATTTTGACAAAGCAAAAGTGGTCAAGAAGAACAGAATGATATGCTATTTAAGAAAAAAAAGTCAAGTAGGATGAGTACTGAAAATAGGTTAATGAGTTTGGAATACAGATGTCCTTAGTCTTCTTTTTTTTTTTTGTGAGGAAGATCAGCCCTGAGCTAACATCCATGCTAATCCTCCTCTTTTTGCTGAGGAAGACCGGCTCTGAGCTAACATCTATTGCCAATCCTCCTCCTTTTTTTTTTTCCCCAAAGCCCCAGTAGATGGTCGTATGTCATAGCTGCACATCCTTCTAGTTGTTGTACGTGGGACGCGTCCTCAGCATGGCTGGAGAAGCGGTGCGTCGGTGCGCGCCCAGAATCCGAACCCGGGCCGCCAGTAGCGGAGTGCGCGCACTCAACCGCTAAGCCACAGGGCCAGCCCCCAGATGTCCTTAGTGAGAGGAGTTTCATGAAGTGCTCTAGGTTAAGACATGCACATGAACAGTGAATAGAAAGAGAGAGCAGGTTATTCTTTAAAGATGGTTTTCTGAAAGCTTTTTAACAGCAGCATTTACCTTTTAATATCTCTATGAATATGATGGTTTTCATGTAAAAAATTGATGCCATTAGCTGCACCATGAGCAATCTTGCATCTCATGTGCCAAGACAGTGGTGGAGTATCATCCTTATGGAGTAAGAAACAAACCAATTAAAAAAAAAGAGGAGAATAAAAAAATCTATAGAAAATATATAACAGAATATTTTTCTAAGCAAGTTCTGAAAATGATAGTATATTGCTAAGAATTTAAGACGATCATTTTTTTAAGTTGTTAAAAAATAATCTCTAAATAAGATCAAATGGGGGTTAGCAATTGTTGTTTGACAATAAAAGGATATATGAGCATCTTCAAAGTCTATCCTTGACTGATAATTTTACATTTTAGATTATCACCTAATAGAATGGCAGTCCCAGTTGTTTACATATCAACTGTATAATTTTCATAGAGCAGGAAAAATATTAAGATTAATGCAGTTTAAATGATCCTGTCACAAAGTAATAGTAGTATTCCAACACAGAAACGGAAGGCCAAACATCTTACCAAGCAAGACAGTCTGTCTAGCAATGAACCATTAGGCATGTAAACATATACTAAGCAGAGGTCATCTTCATCACTTGAGAAACCAAGTAGTTCTACTAAGTTTTCATGCTGACACCTGTGATAAATAATTTTCCACTCAGAATTATTATGACATATACATACACATATTCAGCTGTAGGTTGAAAATTATTCAATTTAGAGCTTTAACAGAAAAAAGAGCAAGACAATAATTATATGCTATATATCAGTATAATATTATATATGTGTTTATCATAACTATTTATAATTTTCTGCAAACAGTTCTCTTTTCAGTCAATATTGATCAATATTAGAAGCAAAACCTCTTTCTATTTTATAGTAAAAGCTCAGTAATTCAGATCATTGGAACTTGTGATGGTTTGGTTAAGGACTAGGCTTATGTTTACCTTTGTTGACCAAAATTTTCAATGATAGTACAAACAAGATTTCAAGGAATCCGTTGAAACTTTTATGACAACCCCTTCAAGAATTCTCTGACACTTCCAAAGCACTGATTTACAGACATCTGATCTTTAATCACACCTAATTTACTCATTTCTGATCTTTAATCATATCTGACGATTTATAACCTAATTTGAGTTTCTTTATATACTAGAGAATAATAAAACTAAAGAGAGCTAAATAACAAAACTGCAGGTATCTGTGGTACAGTAGAAAGAAAACTGGGCTCGGACTTCAAAGTCCTAAGTTGCAAGTTCAGCTCTGCCACCTCCTGGAGGTGTGACTGTGGCAAGTTAACAAGCTCACTGACCCTCAGCTCCGTTACCTGCTAAATGTGGATAATAACATCCATGATGTAACACGGATGCTGTGAGAATTAAATGAGCAAATGTAAGAGAGCCTAGAAATACACCATCCAAGTGCTTACTCATTTTGTTCATTCAAAATGATCTATAATTCTGGGATTTTATTATTTCAAATCAGTCTTTGATTTGAAATCAGTCTAATTTCACAAATATGTTAAGATGCACGAATTAAAATGAGAAGTGCTCCATTTTCCACCAAATTGGCATATTTTAAAAATGAGTCGGTAACACTTGCTGAGTTTATACAAAAGGCACTGTGGTAAGTGATTTACCTGCTTTGTTTTATTTAATCCTTACTTAATGAAGGAAGCACTATTATTATCCCATTTTCTCAGATGAGAAAATTAATGAATAGAGAGTTAAAGAAATTTGGCAAAGGTCATTCTGCTAGTAAGGTCCAGAGATTGGTAGTTATTAAAAAATTGTAATAACATTCAATGGGGGTGAGGTAGCAGTGAAGTTTGAATTGTAATAATGTTGCTGGTAGGAATATAAATTACCATAACTTATCTATAAAGCCACCTGGACAGACACTTGGAAAGTCTTTAAAAGTTCGTGCATCCTGAACCAGTAATTCTTCTTCCATAATCTATACTGACGAAATAAGCAGAGCTGCATTTAAAGAGTTATGTACAAAGAGACTGAAAGGAGCTTTAATTTGTAATATTGAAAATTAGAAACATACCTAGTAAGGTAATGGTTAAATTAAATACAATCCTCATATATGCCAGAATGTGGAACAAGAATTTAAAATGTTTTAAAACTATTTTATAGACATGGGAAAAATGCTACACACACATCATGAAGCAAGTTCCTCAAAATATTAGCAATGGTTATCTCTGAGCGATATATTTAAGAGATGATTTTTATTAATTTAAAAATATTTTCTTGTATTTCCCAGATTATCTACTTTGAACAAGTTACTTTAAGATTGGAGAGTGGAAATAGGGGCAGGAAGAACAAATCCTGAAAGAGTTTTGATTTTTTTATCAGTGTGCATTATTTTTACTGTGAATGAATTAATTCCAGTTTATTTTTCTTTCTTGAGGTTCAGCCACTAGAGTTAGTGATTTATAGGAAAGGGTCTGATGAGTGTAAATTGGTAAATCCCATTACAATTCAGATCAAAAGTTCAAGCTCAGAATCAGACAGATCTGGATTTGAAACCCAGCTCTAACATTAATTGGCTATGTGGTCTTGGGCAAGTTATTTAATGATTCTAAATCTCAGTAAGAATAAAAAAAGGTTGAGGGGAGGTTGTAACAACTGCGAGGATTAAATGAGACAATGCACATAAAATACTTTGCACAGTGTCTGCGATATCGTATATACGCAGGTATCAATCACTAAATTATTAGAATAAATTTCCTGATTTGTTTCTCCTACTCCTCCTGATGCTGCCCAACAATTTTCAAGCATACTGGGTCAATGTCTTCTAAGCATTCTTGCACATAACACTTTCCTGGTTTACGGGTGTTAACTTATATCTAAGGGCCTATAATTCTATACTTTTTTTTTGTATCTCTACAATTTATCTCTCATGAATTCTGGGAGCAGAAAACATGATAATGGAAGATAGCTGAAATTCCATGTAACTTTACTACGATTTAAAATAATGTCTGCTGTTTAATCTACAGGCATGTGAGTATATGTAGTCATAGAATTGTAGAGTCAAAGTTCTTTCATCTCCTCTTATCTAAACTCTTTACTTTACTATTATATATTTGAAAACATCACTAGTTCATGGCACACTCTAGATAAGAAACCAGGTCCCTTACTCCTTGTCCTGCTCCTTTCTACTCTACCAAACTGCCAAATTAACTTACTTTGCCATTACTTTTATTTCTTGATCAAACTGTTGTTTCAGTTCTTCAGTGCTAATGTCAACCATCTGAAAAAATAAAATAATATACAATATAATACAGTACAATAACCCCAAGGCTCCTAAAGCTAGAAAAGGGTGCAAAAGACCGTCTGGCTGATGCTGCTTTAAAATTATTCTCCCCATTTCATAGAGCAACCAAGAACTAGAAATATTAGTGATTTGCGCAAGGTCCCATGGCTGGTCAGTAGAAGGAAAAGAACCATATAAACCATATAACCATATAGACTTCACTGAGTTTTTGTGGGAACAAAATGAAATAATATGAGACTTCACTGCAAAAACATTCTGAAAAAAAAAATTCAGTGTAACAGAAAACATAAAATTTGAAGGAAAAAAGAAAAAGAAAACCTGTAAAATATACGACAAAGGGTAACCATCTTTATCACATAAATATGCATTGTATTGATATTTTTAGATTGTAATGACAGATCTACAATACAACATAGCAATAAGTAAATGATGAACATGCCAATAAAAATGGGAACAAAGCACATGAAGAAATTTTTCTGTCTTTTTTCTTATTGTATGTTTTCTAAACTTTATTTTTAAATGAGAAAAGTAATACGAGAAAGTTATTTCTATAAAAGTTTCTTAGTATCTTACCATTTTAATCTTGACTGTGCATGAAGCACTGTGTAGACCACAGCTTCTAAACTTTATTTTGTGAATCTCATGAAATTATACGTATAATCGTATGTATGTGTACATACCTACAATTTTGTAGGGATAGGACCCATAGCTTTCAACACATTTTTAAATGTTAAGAACTACCAGCCTAGAATGATGTTTATTTAAAGAAAATATGCCCTGAAATAATATATTTCCTAAAGATTAATTTAAAACATATAGCATACTAGGCAGCAACTCTTCCTTTAATTCCTTTTATTCTTGAAAAAATAACTTACCGCTGCAAGCTTCTTCACTGCTACAGTTCTGTTGTTCACGTATCCTTTATACACAACTCCAAATCCTCCTTCTCCCATTTTGTTACCACCAATAGAAACGGGTCGTTCATCAAAGTTATTTGTGACGTTCTTCAATTCATAAAATGAAAAACAGTGAAAACCTATAAGGTCAATAAAATAGGGAAAAAAGTGCTTCAATGAAAAAGAAATTCGTTTTAATAACTTCAGTATTTTCTCAATTTGAATATTCTATACATATGCAAATATTTCTAACTTTGGATAAGGCATGATGGGAGAGAGTAAAACCATTTTATATATATACAAATTTTAAACTCTCTCTTGAGAATTCTCTTTGGTGATCCTCCACCCAAAACTCTGGTCACTTATTTTTTTTATAAAATGACCCTTTCATGTTATGTAAATATTTACTTATTTTTTTCATAGCTTCTGTGGATATTTGTATGTCCTACTGCCTCTACTCATTGATAACACACTGACTAATACAATGAAGATAGTGCTTAATAATCAGGAGGAAAAAACACAAAAGAGCTACTGTCAGTGTGCACAAACAAAAGGAGAGATTTATTTTAAAGCAGTGATGGTCATAATGACAAACCAATAGTGGAAAGCACTGCAAATGTTACTTACGTGTATCACTACCTTCTAAACTTCCATTTTCCGGACTTGAGGAGTCAGGTGGCATATAGTTTTGTTCAAGATTCTGCACAGGTAAAGCAGATGTCCTGTCTTTGCCATAGAGAGGCATCTGTGTCTGCTGAACTGTTACAGCTTCTTCAGGAGGTAATGTATTAACAGTTTTGGGAACAGCATCTGCCAAATAAAATTAGATATGAGTTGTCCTTCCATAAGAAAAAGTGTTTGTGGGGCCGGCCCCGTGGCTTAGCGGTTGGGTGCGCACGCTCCGCTGCTGGCGGCCCAGGTTCGGATCCCGGGCGTGCACTGACGCACCGCTTCTCTGGCCATGCTGAGGCCGCGTCCCACATACAGCAACTAGAAGGCTGTGCAGCTATGACATACAACTATCTGCTGGGGCTTTGGGAGGGGGAGAATAAATAAATAAATCTTAAAAAAAAAAAAAAAAAGAAAAAGTGTTTGTGAAAAAGTTAAACTAGAAACTAGGTTCATTTAACACCATTCCAGTTTCCACATGTTAGCCCCATATTCTCACAGCACACAAGAAGCTACCTGGTTAGAATCTGTGTTTTGATAAAGATGGGTAGAGAGGGTAAGACAGTGTTTTCAGAAAGGGGTCCATGAGCCGCCTGCATCAGAAGCACTGAAGTACTTGTTTATAAACATAAACTTTGAACCCAAGTCCAGAATTCTGATAATGAGGTCTGGAATAGAGCCCAGGAAGCTCCACATTTAACAAGAACCCCAGGTGATTCTTATGCACACTGAAGGGTGAGAACCAGTGTTGCAAATGTCATCAAAGTGAAAAAAGTAAGGTTATGAGGTAACCAGACACTAACCCACCAGAATACAAGTAAGGAAATCGTGATCACAGAGTCCCATTGGGGTGGAAGTTGAGAGTGAAAAAAAGTGAGAGCTCAAAAAAACCAATAATTCCCATTCTTCTAAATTTCATATTGGCACAAAACCACCTGACTTAATTCGTGGGATCAGACTCAATCACGAAGCCTCCATCTCCTCAGCAGCAAGTCTGCCACGTGCTATGTCTGGGCTGCTTGTTAAAGAGTTGAAAAGAGCTGACAGAATGAAAAGGAGTCTCAAATGTAAGGTTCATCTACTATGAGAAAAAAGGAAGACTAAGAAGAAACGTTCCTTTTTCACCACTTGTCTTTCCACCCTAATTGTTGATGCCCTAGTCACACTCAGCTTACCTGGTAGCAAAAGACTCGCAGGGGCAAAAAACTCATTTTGGACCAAAAGATCCACAAGATCACCGACTGTGCAATTTGTGGTTCCCCAGTCAAACAGTAATTCACAAGTGGGACTTTTTCCAGTTTGAATTAATGCTTCAAATCTCCTTAAAAGCAAGTAACAAAGAAACAAAATTAGTATGTAAATGGTTAACATAGGAATTATTCCCCCCTGCCCCCGTCTCACCCACAGCACCTCCTGTAATATTAAAGGAAAGGGACAGCAAGAGAGCCAGCAAGAATTACCGAGCACAGGAAAGATAGGCAGAAGGAAAAAGATGCTGAAGCTAATAATAACATGAGTTAATATATAATGAGAACTGACTGAGTATTTGCTCAGTGGGCTACAGGATGCACACACATGAACTCATTTAATCCTTAAAGATACTATGAATATCATACTAATTTACTAATGAGAAAGCTATGCATGGAGAGGTAAAGTAACCAGCCAATGACCACAGCCAATGACCAATGAGCTATATCCAAATTGAGATCCAAATTCAGATCTCACTTAACGTAAGAGTGTGCTCTCAACCTACTAAGCTATATTACTTCCCTACATGACTTATTAACTCAGCTAGAAACCAGCCTGCTTAAAGAAACATGATATATACAAACTTGGACAATTATTCCTTTGATCTTAACTATATTTCAGTTAAATCGAAGAAAAAAACACAGATCAGTTTTTCATTCCCATTTCTTTCAAAATTAGTTTCGAAAAGTGACATTTAAAAATGTAAACAATATAGTTTTTTATGTTTTTCCTCCAAATTTTTTATTTTGAAAATTTCAAACCTACAGAAAAGTTGAAAGAATAATACCATGAACAACCATTTATCCTTCACCTAGATTCACCAATTGACCAATTGATACTATTTGGCCATGTTTGTGCTCTCGCCCTCTTCCTCTCGGTCTCTGTGTGAGCTTCGGGGTGTAGGCCAGATGTTTGTAGAATGTCTCACAGTTGACATTTGTCTGATACTTTCTCATGATTAAATTCAGGTTAAAAATTTTTGGTAAGGACACTACATAGGTGACAGTGTGTCCTTCCCATTGCACCACATCTAGAGGTACATAATGGCAGATTGTACCATTATTGATGACACAAAATTTGATTACTTGGGTATGGAGTTATACTTCAGATTTTTTTCTCAATAAAAGTACCTTTCCTCTTCACAATTCATATGTAACTGTGGATGATCCTTTGAAATCTTGTGCATATCTTGTTCATCAATGACCCTTCACCTCGTGGTTTTAGCCTTGTGTGAATCAATTGCTCATCAGTAGTTGTAAATTGGCAACTTTCTAACTCAATCATTCTTTCAATAATTATTTGCTGCTGTTATTCTGTAAAAAAGAGCTCTCTCTCCCCACCACCATTGCCTCAACTATCCTCCAAAAGTTTTTAATAATAATATCAACAAACTATCTTCAAAAATTGGCTTTCAAGGTTTAAACTTAAGCTTCTTCCAAGTAACTTAAGATGTTCATCCTTCATATGAGGAAACATTTCCTGGAAGGACTAATATGGGAGCTAAGGCTTTAGGTTCTTTATCAGGTTAATGCTGAAAATCACCAATAAATTTCTTTTCCTCTTGCTTCCAGAGAGAGATCTTGACATAGGTTTGGGCTGAAATAACTGACAAAAATAAAATCTGGACTTATATTTTACACCAAATCAAGCATAGACAAATAGAGAAAAAGAATGGAAATTATCTGAAGATAGTGTTGAAAAATCCTGGCTAAGAACTAAATTCTGGTTATAGATGTGTACATTTGCAAGCAACTTTAAAATGTCAATTTGAAGAATTCCCAAAATACACTGCTAAAGTGAATTAGAGTTACACACTCTTAGAAATTTAAGCTTCAGAAGTTTGCTAGAGATTCTTATCATATTCTTATGTTACTTCAATCTGGAAATGATAAGTGTAGGGCAGAGTGAACTGTATTTGGCGTGCCAAACAGAGAATTAGAGTAAAAGTGGGAATGTTGATTCTAACCCAAAAACTTATTTGCAAGATCACAATATTAGCCCAGCTGATATATTGGAGAATGAAGCAAAAATTTCCAAAAAAAAGAAGTTATTGATTACTATTATCTCTGCTGAAGAGAGGCTTACTTTCTGAACGGCAATATTAGACAGTATTTATACCTATTAATCATTCTAGATTGTGATATAAGAATTTAAAAAGAAAAAGAATTTTCTATGTTACCTTATGTGAAACTGATTGTATCTGTCATCACCAGATGGTTTTTTAATAGCTACTGCTAACTTCTTCCATCCTTCTTGAGGATCAATAAAATCTGACAGCTTCCTAATTAGTCCAACACTGAGGTAGCGCACATATGTTGATGGTGTTATGGGTTTGTTCATCTTCTATTCCTAAAATATAGAAAGTTCTCGTTAAAATTTTACAGTAGTTTTAGCAGTGACATCTGTAAGCTTATACATTACACTTTGCTATAACATATGAAATGCTGGCAACTGATTACGCCATAATAAAGGAACACTCCGAAGTCAATTAGTTGACATCCTAAGAAAAAAATTAAAATTATAGTTTATTTATCTAACTGTCCTTTGGGCTTGCTTGCTTTCTCCACCTATAAATATCAATAAAAAATCGAATAATTTTTTTTTCTGATACTGACATTTTCCGAGTGAAATTTACACAAAGGAGCAAAAACTTTACTTTTTCAGAGAAGTTCCTGTGAACATATTTCGGAACCAAATCTATTAATAAAAGATTTATTTTTCAATTTAAAATATTTTTCTCAATCAGTATTTATTTACTTTCAAACATTTATAGAACATTCTTTGGCAGAAGTAAAAAAAAAAATACGTCCTGAAATAATTTTGTATACAATGAAAAGATATGGTCTATCCACCAACTTTTCATATAACATGCTCTTCCTTGATTCCTCCACATTTTTTGAGTTCATCAGACTTGCCTGATCACAATTCATGCCCTACTAAACCAAACCCTGTGGTTCACCACTTTAACCACTCTTTAGACAGAACCTTTACGTCCTCGGTCTCCTTTTTCTTCTGCTACTCCACCCTGGAGAGCTGCAGTCAGGGATAAATCTCACAATTTTACTTGTACACCAGTGCTGCTGAATACAGCTGTGGAGACCTAGATAACAGAGCAGACTGGTCTGAGTACAAATTTAGGGGGATCCCCTTTCCACTGGGCCTTCAGCACTGCTGTTAATCCTTTTACTCGTCTTCATTCATTGTCCATGGTTTTATTTGATCTCTATGTCCCTCATTCTCAGCAGCTGGTGATCTATGCTTCTAATTACTCAAGACAAATAGATTCAGATAGTCTTCTGTCAATTATTCTCCCGTTTCCCAATATATTTTTATTTTTAAAATGCAATATAATTAATTTTTGGAGTAAAGAATATATTTATGTAGTATACAATTCAGAAGCTATAAAAGACTAAGAAGAAAAAGTCTCCCTGTATCCTAGGCCTCTATATTAGTATTCTCTTCTCTTTGGCCTTCTTTGACCATCATCTAAGTAGGTCTATCTACCCTCAACCTAATTATCTTTCATCACAGCACAATGTATTTGTAATCATATATTTATTTGTTTACTTGTTTACTATCTCCCCCATTAGACTATAAACTCCATGAGTTCAGGGACTATGCTCATTTTATTCATTTATATATAACTAGTGACTAGCAGATGGTAGATATTGGTGTTGTTAAGTGTTAAGAATGAATGAATTTCTTGGCCAGTACCATGCTAGGTGATTTACATATTTCACTTAGTCCTCAGAGTGACTAAGGAAGTTTTATCATCTCTATTTCACAAAGGTAGTAAGTTAGAGAGCTAGGACTTGAACCCATATCTGACTCCAAAATTCATGCCATATGTCCCTGCTTCTATAGCTCAAAATGGCATTGTTCATGTCATTCTCTTTTCTAGAAAGACAAGTCATTTCCTTTTATTCATTCATACATTCAAAAAACATTTATGTCAGGATTTGTACTAAGTGATGGGAGCTATAGAGAAGAAAAAATCTTTGTTTTCAAGATTCTTAGTCTAGCAGGAGGTATAATTACAATGAGTGCTAAATGTTACAAGAGGTGTGTGTAGTGTGCTATGCAGCCCAGAGAAGGAGCATCAAGCCGAGGCAATCTGAAGAAGGTATATCAAGATAGATTTGGGTGGTGTGTGAGGTTGGAAGGACGGGTGAAAAGGAATGAGGATAAACCCAAAAGGAAATTCCAGGCACGAGGAATAGCAAGGGAGAGCATGAATTAGGCAGGCTCAGGCAAGGAGTTTGCTGTGGCTGGACCATAGGATGCATGTCATTAAGTAAAAAGAGATGAGACTGGAGTGGTAGGCAGGGCCAAATCATCATGTGCCTCATACACTAAGACAAGGAATTTAAACTTTATACTACAAGTTACGGAGTAGTCATTTCAGGACTTTAAGGAAAGGTGTTACATGATCTTATATGGTTAAGTGGATTCCTCTTGATAAAAAATTGAAGGGATGTATATTGAGGCAAGGAGACCAGTTTGAAAATTTTGCAACAATCTAGGTGAGCAGAAATGAAAGCCTGAAAAAAGTATATGGTCGGGGAATGGAGAATAAAGAGATTCAAAGATTTAGGAGGCCAAATCAAAATAACTTCATGAAAGATCAGAGATTAGAGGGAAAGTAGAGTGAGGGAAAAAAAGAAGCTGATCCCTGGCTTTTTTGGCTTGGGCAATTAGGCAGATGATAGAGGAAATAAAGCATTCAGTTCTGGTCACGTTAAAGGTGAAATATCTACCTCTGGCACCATCTGGGGGAGTTGGCACTAAGTAGCTAGACAGATGGTCTGGAGCTTAGGAGAAGAGGTTAAGATAAAGAATGTTTGCTATGTGAGCATTCTCATCTATTCATACATGAATAGTTGGCTGAAGCAACAAGTAAGTAGGAGGCTGCCTGTTAGAAATATATAGAATGTGAAGAAATGGAAAGAAAGGAGGACCTTTAAAAAGTATTGATAAGTCATGGAGGTAAAAAGAAAACCAGGACAGTAGCATATCAGAGATTTCTAGAATGGGGGATAGGTTGGTATAAAAGACTCAGAGAGGTTGGAAACCAGAAGGCCACTGGGTGACTTATGAACAGTTTTAGTGGAGCAGTGATTGAATGGTAGAAATGTGCTTTCCAAGAAGTCTGGCTATGAAGGGAAGAAAAGAAAGAGAGAGTGAAAGATAAGAGAGAGAGAGAGAGAGAGAGAGAGAGAGAGAGAGAGAGAAGGCAGCAGTTCTCAAACTTGATCTCCATACCCTTTAAACTCTTAAAAATTATTGTGGACTCCAAAGAGCTTTTGTTTATGTTGGTTGTACCTACCAATATTTACCATATTATAAATTGACACTGAGAAATTTGAAAATAACTTATTCATTCTTTTAAAAATAAATGTACTACGTTAGTATGTACTACGTTAAATATATATATTTAAAAAAAACAACTATATTTTCCAAAAAAATTAAGAGTGATATTGTTTTACAGTTTTGCAAATCTCTTTAATGTTTAACTTAATAGAAGACAGCTGGATTCTCATCTGCTTCTGCATTCAATGTACTGCAATATATTGTTTTGGTTGAGGTATAAGGAGAAAATCCAGTTTCACACAGACATACAGTTGGAATAGGGAGGAGTATTTTAATAGCCTTTTCACAACGTAGTGGATATTTCTCTTCGATACTACACTAAAACTTGACAAGAGATAACTTCCTAAAAATTAGCTGCAATATGGAATCTGAAACCATATCAGTGAATTTTGTCACATTAAAATCCATTGCATGCAGAATGAGTCTTTTATTCATATGTGATTTTGACTTTATGAACCTCTTGAAAGAGACTTGGGGACCCCAACCACCCCCAGAGGACTGCTGATTTAAGGTCTGTTTTAAGACTTTAGCTTGGTTGAGGATACAAAAGGGATAATGAGTAGAGTATAGGTGAAGGGGTCAGCCTTGAACAGAAGGAAACCTCTTCTATAACTCTCTTGAACCCAGATTTCTAGCAGAGGTGATGACATAGGGATACCAAGACAAGGAAGGCCTTCTAACAACTCCTCCATACATATATGCCTGGAAGTTCTAAATCTCAGAATTTAAAATCTTACTTTAAACATACATTCATATATTACCACCAACACATATTTGGAAGAACATACACCAAAATATTAACCGTGGTTATCTCTTGATAGTGATTTTTATGGGGGTTTTGTTTTCATTTGCTTTTTTGCATTTTCAATAATGAAAATAAATTATTTGTGTAGAAAAAACATAAAAAGTGTCACCTCTTTCAAAGTGTTCAAAATTTTACTTTAGTGCACTTAGGATTAATAGAAGTGGAACAGGATCTATTGCTTACAAATAAACAAATAAAAATCTCCATGACTGTTTTCTCATACCATTAATTCTCATAGTAGACAAAACCGCTGATATTTTCAAAGACAACTCAGAGAACAATATAAGGTAAGGTAATAATTGAGAAATATACTTAAACCAGTGTCTGCTTGTAGAACCCAGCACCTTCCCACTCATATGCATGTTCTCAAAGTACTGTGCCCAAAATAGGAATTCAAAAAATTCTATTCAAGTAAATTAACACATTTTTAAGATTGTGCTTCATTATCACTCTGATCAGAGGAAGAGAGTGTACAGGGGTGCAGGGGAGATGGACTTTGAGGTTGCACGGGACTGCATGCTAATACATCTCTTTCACAAACTACCTGTGACCACGGTCAATGATTCAGTATCTCCGGACCTTGGTTTCTTCATCTGAAAAAGAGAGATGGCAACAGCTAAGAGGTGCTGTAAGATTTAAAATCAACAAACTGGAAGGGCCTAATCCTGTCCACAATAGGTGATCAAAATAAAATGTAGCGATGATTATTCTATGGCAGAAGTTATTCTTAAGTCACATTTTAAAAACAGAAACATGCAGAGTTGTATTTAAGCTCAATTTTCAGAATAGTGGTGAGGGGCTACTGAGAAAGTGGAAATAAGAGGTCTGAGACTATAGCTAAGCGTTTCAGATATTGGGAGTCTTACTTTCTAGAGCATAATATGTTCAATACGTCTACAACCTCCCTAAAATACCTTATTCACTCTGATGCTTTCTTAAGCAAAATATGCTGGAAAACCATTAATCTTTATTTTTGGACAACTCAACATCATCACTATGAAGAAAAGCTGGTGATATCTTCCAGATCTATTAAATTATATAGGGCTGCCCCTCTCAAACGGGGATACGAGCTGGTATGCCATAAATTAAACAAAACACATCACTCTTAGACATTGATTTAACTCAATGGCAAGTAATTTAAAATGCTTTGGATATATTAAAAAATATTATTCATTCATCAAATATTTACTGGGTTTCTGCTTTGTGCCAAATATTGATCCCTGGAGATAAAGCGTTAGGAAAATAAGAAAAAAAATAACTGAACTCATAGAGCTTATATTCTAATAGAGAAAGAGAGGCAATAAACAAATAAATTCGATAGTATGTTAGATGGTGCCACCTGGAATGGAAAAAAAATAAACAGAAAAGGGGGTTTCAGTTTTAAATAGGGTAGTCAGAGTAGGACTCAATAAGAAGGTGTCATTTGATTAAAAGTTTGAAGGAATGAGAAAGCCAGCCACTGGGATATCTGTGGGAAAAGTTTCTGGGCAAAAGAAACAGTAAATGCAAGGGTCTGAAGTGGGCCCATTGAGAAACAGCAAAGAGACAGTAAAACTGGAGAGGAGGGAGCAGGAAAGTAGCAGATAAGATGAGAGGTAATGGGGCCAGGTATACTAAGTCTTTATAACCTTTGTATTGACTTTGTTTATGAGTGAGATGTTGAAGAGTGAGATGAGATGAGGTGAGAAGACAGTGGAGGTTTCGAGAAGAGGAGAGACATGCTCTATACTTATGTCTTAAAAAGACACTGGGGCTGCTGCAGAGAATAGTGGATATCGGAGGAAGGGCAGAGAAGCAGGAAGAGAGACCAACTAGCAGAGCACACCAATAATCCAGGCAGGAGGTGCTGGCGGCTTGGACCAGAGAAGGCACCAAGTCCTAGGATGCTGGATATTTTCTGAGGTAGAGCAAATAGAATCCTATGTGCTGATGTGAAGAGTGAGGAGATGGCACTAAAGTTTTTGGCCTGAACAAGTTTCCTGACATTTACTGAGATGGAGAAGACTATGGAAGGAGTAAGTTTGGCCTGGAAGATCAGGAGCTCGGTTTGGACAGGTAGAACCAAACTTCAAAAGAATGCTTAGCATGCAAACAGGAGAATAAAAGAGATAAGAACTTTCTGACAGATCTCTTCAAGGATTATCCCCAAAAAGAGAAAAGGCAGATTTTAATACTCTCTGCTCTCAGGGCTCCTTGGGCACATACGTTTTTGAGGCACTAACAGAACTATTTGTTCCCATTCTAAATGGCTAAAATGCTTTCTCCCTTTCTCAAGGTCTGCTTTTCATCCCTTTGTTTCTTCTCTCGCTTCCAGGCTGTCAGATAGACTTTCCCCTCTGATAATGCATTTATCTAATCCTTACACCCCCTCTCCACTTTCTAATTTCCTCGAAGCTTGGAAGCCGGAGAACAAGCTAATTAGAATCTCGTGGAGGATCAGAATGCTTTCCACGCCGCATCTCTGCCGGCTGCTGGCCTCACTTCCTGGTTCTCAGGAAAAGAGATTTCATTTCGTAAACGGGTTCTCGGAACACACCGCCTGGGAGTTGAGAAACTTGAGGCGAGGTCCGACGGGGCTGGCTGGACCGACGGCTGGGGGACGCCTCCCCATGCCCCAGCTTCCTCCGCAGGTCCCACTCACTTTCTGATCCCCAGGCACCCACCCAAGTCTTTATCCTGGGGCAAGCTCTGCCTACGCCACCTACTTCCTCTCGAACTTCTCTCCCTTTGAAGATAAGAAGGCGATTTTCCTTCCGGGACGGTCCCTCAATAACCCTGGGGCAGAGTGACGGAGGCCGGGGCGCGGACCTCGGACCACCCGCGGTGAAGGCGGCGCGCACGGCCGGAATCCCTCACCTGTCCAGGGGCGAGGCACCGGGGGCGGGCGGGGCGCCGCCGGGAGAAGCCAGCCGCTGAGGCACCAGCGCACGGGGAACGGCCGGGCAGGGGCGTGGCCAGCCCCTCAGGCCCCGCCCCCGCCCCGGCCCGCCCCACTGGCCTCAGCCCGCCCCGCCACAACGCAGCCCCAGGGCGCCGTCGACTGAACTTCGCAGGGTCCGGGCGGGGCCTGCGTCCTGCCTGCAAGTCGGACACCCTGGGGCGGGTGGATCTCCCGGCACCGCCCACACCAGGTCCCAGCCCGGCCGCTGCCCCCGAGGGGCTGACCGGTGACCTCTGCAGCGCGGCCACCGAGGCGGCGGGCCGCCGGGCGCCCAGAGCGTCCCGGAAGTGCGCGCGGGCGAGAGGGGCGGGGCGTACTTCCGGCTGGCGCGCGGGCGGCCACCTCCCGCTTCGAAGGTGAGTGGGTGCCGGGCGGTGGCGGCAGCGGCGGGGCCGGGCCCGCAGAGGGTGAGGGGCAGACTAAAAGGGGCACTGGTGCGCCGCGTCCACTCTGGTGGAGAACACGTCCAGGACAGAACTCGGCTGTGTGTGCCTCCTTCACAAGCCCCTCCTCCTCCCTAGCCATCTGCCCTCTCAGAAGGCGGGCCTCCAGCCACACTCCAGCCTGAGGCCCAAGTCCTCTGCACACCCACATCCAGCCAGCAGCATGTGCTGGCAGTTCTGTTCCCAAGA